TACACATCTAAAACCTACAAACAGCAAATTATTGAATTCTAGGTACTTAACCAAACATTTTCAAACCACAAGCCTATAAACATACCAATTGTTATGGACATTTTTATAACGCGGATGCAGGTAGGCAGCGTCTCGTATATATCGATCTAGCCATATAATGTCGAAACCACAAGCCTACTGCAGCTCTATCTATATCGGTGGGAGGTAGATACTTTATACTTCCTGTGATCAAACGGTCCAACGCCAAGCATACGAGAGGACCACAATCCCCTCTGGGTCCTTTCGTTTGTTGTGGTGCGGTCTCGTCTCTGCTAACTGTAATATTGAGCTTCTTTGGCTTCTTGTTTCCAGAACGAGTCCAATAATTTATCGCATCCAAGTATTTAGCCAAATTAGAGCTCCATCCCTTAATAATATCTCTTAAATCAGCCAATGATATGTAATTTATCATGCTGTCATATACTATTGCCTTAAGGGATGTGATCTGAAGCTCGACGAGAAGCCAATGGTTACGTTCCAAAACAGGGATAAACACCTGCAATCATAAGTAATAATTCATTCATTTGCGCACTTATTTATGAATACCTTTAAACTCAATCTAAAATAAACACTAACCTTATCGACCTCCCACCATGCAGGATAAAGTTTAGCTTGTCCATTGCCCAACGCAAATGATTCATCTCGTTGATTCTTCAAGTGAACTGCGTTAAAAACCGTCGGCATTATTGTATACCGTGTATTTCTTTTATTTTCCTTAAGTTTCCTAATTATTAGTAGACGTGACACCCACGCATCGATATGCTGTTTTACAAAAAAATACATATATTAGTGAATTACATTAATTTTTAAACAAATTAATCAAATGAAAATATAAGAAAAATATAAGACTTACCCCTCCATCGAAATAGCCATTGTCTTCGACCCCTAATAATACGCCCACCAAGACCGATCAAGCAACAAATAGATATCATCATTGAGCTTGCATATGTCAGTGAAACACCCCTGGCTTCGCTCGTGTAGATAAAAATCAACTGCGGTCTTAGCCCAAAGGGTGTTATCCAGAATTGTGTCCGGTAGTTGTTTCCTCTCCTCTTCAGATACCGGTATGGTACTGGCCGGTAACTCATACGAGAGCCAACTTGAATCCATCATGTCCGGCACGTCAGAGGGTTTCTCAAGAATCCTACATATGACGCCATGTGAATCGGGCTCTTGAATGGTGGGAGGGACCTCTTCAACGATGACAGTGGCCTCTTGAACGGTGGGAGGGGACTCTCGAGGAATGATAGGGGCCTCTTCAACGATAGGAGTGGACTCTTGAGGGATGATAGGCGAGTCGGGCTTCTTCTTGCGGTGTCTTCGCACTATTGGGGTATACGGAGACTTAATAGCACGTGCACGCCGTCTGATGCGTGAACTCTGTCGTGCAAGAAAAACCCGACGTAAAGCATCCACCTTATCGGTCCGCTAAATAAAAATACAAATATCAGTAAATAAACAGACATGATATTTAAACAGTGAAAACAAAGATAAATATATTTCAAACTTTCAACCAAAAGACAAAACAAAGACAAATACTAACTTCACAGTGTTAAAGTAAAAAGTTTAGCAGTTTTGGCAGCAACCGAATAAATTTGCCAAGCAATCTAAGTGAAATGGTTAATTTAAGTGAAATTACGAGTAAATTTATCATCAAGTTAAATATGGAAAATCTTAAACTTACCTCGTTGCGTAGAGTATGAACCTCATTCTGCAACGATACTACCATCTCACGTAGAGCGGCAACCTCACCACGTAAAGTAGACACCTCCACACGCCATGCACCATCGTTATCGCGTAGAGTACCGATCTCCTCACGCAAGGCATTGACCTCATCACGTACTCCCTTGACTCATCCCGTGGAGGTGGAGAACAGAGAGATAGAAGTCGTGGCATCTTTGTCGGTCGCCTATCATGAGGTGATGGTGGAGAAGAGACTCGATGATGTGACGGGATAGGTGATGGCTCTCGTTGTAGAGGTGTATAGTCGGGTCGATCAGGTGATGGCTCTGGGTGAGGTGATGGCTCTCGAAGTGGAGGAAGTGGAGGCTGCTCATCATTCGTGCCATCAAAAAAACGCTGACTAGCTTGCCACCAATCAGTGGCAAGCTCAGCCTCCGTGGGTGTCAGTCTCATTAATGGAGTGTTGGCCTCCTAATAATATAAAAACTAAAACAAAGTTAAACGTCTACTATTAATAACTTGTTTATATATGATAGTATTTGTGTTAACTTACATTATTATTGTCGCATATGGTATTAAGTCTTCCCAATCCAACATACGTTTCCTCTTCCAGGAAATAGCCCTAGGAATATCATCTGAGGATTTTAATGCATATGTCTGCATGCTGGGGAAAGCCTCGAATATCCAAATCTACAAACAATATAATAACAAACATTAGTAATTGTTAAATAATTAATTATAATTTTGAAAACATTATATAGAAATTCTTACCTTAAAGGCCCAAACAAAGCCTGACAAAGTGTATTTCGACCCATCGCCCCGCAAACTTTTGCGGTCATCAAAGGCAGATGACAACTTAGTCCAGGTAGCTTTCCATATATACGAACCCCACGGAAACAGATTCCATGCATTTAGGTCCTCTACCAATAATATTAGCTCCTGAGGAATAGGTTGTCTGGCCTCTCTGCCTAGAAAGCCGGCATACAAAAGTAGTAGAAGGCATACTCGGACAACATCGACGTCATTCATCCGAGTAAAACCATCTTTCTTATTAAACAATTTCTTCATGTCGTCGACGTGTAAGTTCGGCTTCTCTATTGACTCATCAGGAAAAACCCTGGATAACCATGATGGGCGGGTGATATGACGAGTGTACCGGCCTACATCATCGTGTCCGAATCGTAGACCAGTGATTAAGCAGAACTCCTTCCGCCCAAAACAAGTATACGCCGGTGGAAAATGAAACCATATCTCTTCCTCACCACGTTGTATACTGTCAGGTAGATCGCTAGTCATGGTTTGAAGCCACAAATGGGTCAAACTAGCATCTCCACCCGGATGTTGTACTCTCAGCCATGGCCCGAAGCAGGTTTCTTCAAACAATTTTCTTTGTGCAGGTGAAAGCTTCGAAGCAATTGTAGTGGCTAGGCTAACTTTATTCCTTAATGTCAATGAAGCCGAAAAAAATTTCTACAAAAAAACAATAAACATACCAAGTTAGATATACCAAAAATTACACTGTCAAGATATACCAAAAACAAAACAATAAACATAAATAGTAGTTTATTCTTGAAACTAAAATTTGCAACACTGTTTCTGTCTTTTGGTTGAAATGAAAATCGCAACGAGATAATGAGAATCGCAACGCGAAAATGACTATCGCAACGAGAGAATCGCAACGCGAAATGAAAATCGCAACCGCGAAATTAAAATCGCAACGCGAAATGAAAATCGCAATGCGAAATGAAAATCGCAATGCGATTTTGGTTTCGCGTTGCGATTTTTATTTCGCGTTGCGATTATCTCGTTGCGATAGTCATTTCTGCGTTGCGATTCTCATTCTCGAAACTATTCTTCTTCTGCATTACTTCAACCAAAAGACAAAGCAAAGACAAATACTAACTTCACAGGCTAAACAGTTTAGCAGTATTGGCAGCAATCGAATGAATTTAATAAGAAATCTAAGTGAAATGGTTAATCTATTATTGAAATTACCAGTAAACTTATCATCAATCTCAATATGAAAAACCTAAAATAATGCAAAAATTTCAAAATAAAAATAAAAAAAAACTAACCCTCGGAGGTTGATTTTCCATTTCTGAATGATTGTGAGGGATTTTTGACTGTGAATGGTTGTGAGGGATTCGCCGGCGATGGGGACGGAAATCTTCGGAGATGGGGACGGATTTCGCCGTAGAGAGTGAGAGATGGAGATGGGACTGAGTGTTGTGTTTTTGGGTTTGAGGTTATGAGTTGCGTGCGATTACTGTGGACGGTTCATTTTCCGATTTATTAAGAAAAAATACGTGTTTGGAATTTGAAAAAAAAATACGCGTTAATACGAATGGTGCTAAGTAAATCGCGTTGCGAAAGTCAGTATCGCGTTGCGAAAGTAAGTATCTCGTTGCGATTTTTTATTATCGCATTGCGATAGTCAGTATCGCATTGCGATTTTCCCAATTCGCGTTACGATTTACTTATTCGCATTGCGAATTTCCCAATTCGCGTTGCGATTTACTTATTCGCATTGCGAATTGGGAAAATCGCAACGATACTGTAGACCATCGCAACGCGATTTTCAACTATCGCATTGCGAAAATGCAACGCGAATTTGCGATAATGGAGATCGCGTTGCGAATTAGCGATCGCATTGCGATTTTGTTGGTCATTTTGGCAAATCCGGAAAAAGTTGGTTAAAATCGTATATTATATGGGATTTTTGGTCACTGAGGTTATTTTCTCTAAATTTTATTAGCTCTAATAAGTTCTAGGATAAATTATATTAATGGTCACTAAAAGATTAAAAAAATTGTCATTAAAATTGTAAAAATTATGTTTTGATCATTAAAATTATTGATAAATAATAAAATGACCAGGACATTATTTTTCATTAGATTAATGACTTGACATGTTAACAACAATGATTCAAATTTATAATTTATAATTTATAATTTATGGTCAATTATGATGTTATCATTATAATTTAGGATTTTAAACGATGCACAAAATTATAAGACAAGAATGATAATTTGACTATAATATTGTTGATGTCCTTGGAGATGGAGGTTTGCGTATAAATAATTTATTTCTTCTGACATGGACGAAGAGTCGTTATTCACGGACCTCAACGGCGGTGAAACTCCGGTGAATTAGAGGCGGTGGTAGGTTATGGCTTAGAGGATAAAATGAAGAGAAAAAGGAAATCGCTAAAAAAAGCTGGCGTGCACTTGCACGGGACAAAGTAAGCCGCTAACTCACTTTGGGTTAATTCTCCACAGGCTCCTAGTTAATTTTTATTTAGCCCCTGTTATTCTAAAATCATTTAATTCAAGTAGGCTATTCTGGATTAATTCTCCATTATTGAAACCTTGGTGTTGAAAGCAACAAACCTAAGCCTTCTGCATCAATGGAGTCGCCAAAAGAGCCTGTCATCTTTGGGAGATCTCTCATAGTTCCAAGTGTTCAAGAACTTGCCAAAGAACCCCTCTCCAAAATCCCACATAGATACCATCGTCCTCATCAAGAATCTCCCTCCATCCCTTCCGATTATCACCTTCCATCTGTCCCCATCATCGATTTTCAGAAACTGGCTGCCGACGATTTCATCGGCTCCGAACTCGAAAGATTACACTCAGCTTGCAAGGACTGGGGATTCTTCCAGGTAAGCCATAGTACTTACTACTCTTCAGTTACTTGTTGGTAAATGGTATTGCTTGAAATTGTTACAGCTAGTGTTTTGTTTAATATATAGGTAGTGAATCATGGTGTTAGTTTGAAATTATTGGATGAGTTCAAGTTGGAGATTGAAAATTTCTTCAAACTACCCCATGAAGATAAGAAGCTTCTTTGGCAAACACCAGATGATCATGAAGGGTTTGGTCAATTGTTTGTGGTTTCAGAAGATCAGAAGCTAGATTGGTCTGATATGTTCTATATAACCACGTTACCACTCGATCTTCGTAAGGTTGACCTATTCGAAAAACTCCCCCTTAAGCTAAGGTATTGAAATTCGAAACCGATATTTCGATAAAAAGTATTGTTTGTAAAGTGTGTTTTTGATCCTACAGTTTCATGATCTTGATGCAGAGAGATCATGGAAGTATATTGTACTGAAGTGAAGAATCTAGCTATGAGGACTTTGGATTACATGGCTAAGGCTTTAAAGATGGATGGTGAAGAAATGAGAGCGATGTTCGATGATGGGGTTCAAGCAATGAGAATGAATTACTATCCACCGTGCCCTCAACCTGATATGACCATCGGTTTCAGTCCTCATTCCGATGCCGATGCTTTAACGATTCTGTTTCAGCTCGACGAAACCGAAGGCCTGCAAGTCCGGAAAGATGGGAAATGGATTCCCATTAAGCCACTTCCAAATGCCTTCGTAGTTAACATCGGAGACATCATGGAGGTATCCATTCTGTTATTTCTCTAGGCCAAGCGATGGTGGCATCGTGCAGATAGTATTGCTCACTTCGAATGCCCTTTTTCTCTGCAGATTTTGAGCAATGGAATATACCGCAGCATTGAGCATAGAGCAGTTGTGAATTCAACCAAACAGAGGCTATCTATTGCAACGTTTTATAGCTCCAAGTTAGACAGGGAATTAGGCCCTGCACATAGCCTTATCGTTCCGAATAACCCTGCGATTTTTCGACGAGTCCCGTTGGAGAAGTACTTCAAGGAATTTTTTGCTCAGAAACTAAACGGCAAGGGTTACCTTGATTTCATGAGAATCAAAAACAATGATGAACATGAAAATTGAAAAACTCTGTTTCATTTGAATAGTGTATTCCTTGGGTCATTGGATATTGGATTGAAATGACTGTACTTTCATACGGAATCAACTTAAATTTACAGTAAATTTTTACCTATGCTACAATGACCAATACCTTCATTCCCTATCTCCAAACTTTAAGTATGTCAATCACGGATTTCCGGCGATACGTTTGCGACTAATGTCGGAATAGAGCAGAATCACTCCGGCAGGCACCGATCGCATCGTCTCTAAACCCTAGATCCCCTAATTTTTACAGTTTAATTACATTTTAAGATCATGTTTGTTTCAAACTTATACTTGTCCCTCTCACATTTCAATCCAAATTTTAAAGCATTTGATTTATTTTAAGGGTAAAGCAGACAAATGGTAATCCGACTATAGTGTGTTGTTTTGTTGAATCCCTTGACTATTAAAAGATATAAAATGGTCACATGACTATTCATATGTTTCAAACTTGTCATTTTCCGTTAAAAAGTTGACGACAATATGAGTTAAACATTAACATATTGACAAGGATATGATAGTCGTTTGAGATTTTGAGATCAGATTTTATCATATTCCAATTATCATATTAACGCCCAGCTTAGACTGCCGTCATTTTTTTAACAGAAAATGACGAGTTTGAAACATATAAATAGTCGAGTGACCATTTTGTAACTTTTAATAGTCAAAGAATTTAACAAAGCAATATCTTATAGTCCAAAGATCATTAATTTTTTAACTTTTAATAGTTGATGAGCTTAAGAAAATAACACTTTATAATCAATAAATCATTCGTATACTTCATCTTATTATAAATAGGTATGTATCTTCTGCATCAACAATTTGTGCCAAACATGTTGAAAAAAAAACCATGTTTTTTTGTTTTTTTTTTTTTGTTAAAACAGAACAACAGGAAAACTAGAAGCTAGCTTGTCCCATTCAGATCTTTTAGCAGAATATCATTCATCTCCTCCGGCGGCTCCAAAAACTCAGTGGTACCAATCGATGCTCCTCGACTCAAACCAGCCAAGAAATCTGCAGCTGCATTTTGCTCTCGTCGAACGTGGCGAATAATCGTCGTGACCTTTCAACATTCGTAAGCAAACGATCTTGTAATGCTAACCAAAGTAAAAATTTTATTCGTTGAGGAATCTCCAAACTCCATAAATATTTCCGGTTTATGGCAGTACCTACCCTTTCCTGCTGCATGAGAGACATGTACGCCGTGTTAGTGGTAGAACGTCTATCGGATTCCCATCGCCATCCGGGGGAATCTGGACCCAACCGCTCAAGAGGCGGTTGGACGATGGCTTCAGGAAGAACGTTCGAAAGCCTTTCCCAGTCCCACATACCCGATGAGAGAATCATCGCACAGACAGGGGTTGGAGAGGGAGAGTCTGATCCTGTGTAAGAGAAAATTAACCGATTTTTGCCATCCAACCAATGATCATACCAAAAATCAGTGTAACGGCCACCGCGGATGATTTTAATAATTAGAAAGATTATTGTTTCTAACATGACATGTTTAAGATGTTAATGTAATAGATGTGCTGTGTTTTTAAAAATTGATACACACGCTTTAAATATTTTAATATCGTATTCGAGCTATTATTCATTATTTATACTGATAATTACTGTTTAATCAATAATTAAAAAATTATATGTAATAAATTAAAGGTTTAAGTTCAACTGTTGATTAAAATCTATACTAATGTCTCAACTTTTTATAAAGTATAAGAACCAAATTGTAATAAATTAAAATTTAATGACTAATATTTCAGTTTTATAACATATAAGGATAATGTTAGTGATTAAAAATTATTAACGTCGTATTTTGTGAATTTGTTTCCCTATTTAACTGCGTCTCTACCTCCTCTCTCTTTCGCCTTCTTTTATGGTTCTTCTTTTAACCTTCCAAGGCAATGGCGGCAAAAGATAACAGCAACAACAATGGCAGATTGGTTGGATGTATTGTTGTTCTATTGTTCTTGCTATTGCTATTCTTTGCATTTTCCCTCTTGAAAGTTGAGTTCCATGCTGTCCCAAGATGTCTAATCTTTCGCTTACACATGGTGGGAGGGCATGGAAACTCAACTTTCATGAGGGAGAAAGCAAAGAAAAGCAATAGCAAGGGTCGTCGTGTAGAACCCGAGAATCCTCCTCCTCGATGAGGCTGTAGTTCCTTGGATGCCGAATTGAAATGTATCGTTCAAGAAGCAATGGTGAAAGTGATGGCCAATGGTACAACCGCATTGGTGGCACACCGGTTGATGACTATGACGAATGCGGACATGATAGCAGTAGTGCACTTAGGGAAACTTGTGGAGCAAGGTACCAGCTTTATTAATCAAAGTTTATATATTAATTCACCAATAGGATGGATGTGTTCTTGATAACGACGAGAACCATAGCCGCCATGTCATTAAAATAATCTCAAAGGTTATACAAAAGAACTTTCCCGGTTTTCTTTGGATGTTTACTTTCATAGTTTCATGTGGAAGTAATGGTATCATTGAAATACCAAGTGAAACCCGTTTAACAAGATTTTGAAACCAAAATTTTATTTAAACGATTTTGAAACCGAAATCTTAAAAAATAAAATGTATCAAAATCTTTAATATTTGATCAAAACGTTCTTCATCTGAAATTACCGGATTATCTTTTTTTTTTAAAGAATGCATTAAGAGTATTTTCAATAGATTGTATTTGATTTTCCATTTAATTAACGTGGGAAATATTGCTTCAAGTTTATATACATATTCCCTATTGTGTAGTTGCACTTGATTAGTAATACTAATCAATTTTACATGTTTAATTGATCTACATACTTGTTGGTATATTATAGAGACAGAGGTAACATTTCGAAAGATGACCATAGAAAGACAGCTGTCCAAATCTGTGGCTGTTGCTATCAATGTTCTTTGCTTTTGCTCTCATGAAAGTTGAGTTTCATGCTCTTCCAACATGTCTGATTTTTCACTTATCCACGGTGGGAGAACATGGAACTCAACTTTCAGGAGGGAGAAAGCAAAGAAAAGCAATAACAAGAGTCGTCATGAAGAACGTGGTAATCCTCCTCCTCGATGAGGCTATGATTTCCCTGGATGTTGAATGGGAATGAACTGTTTAAGAATCAATATGGTGAAAGTGATGGCAACTAGAAAAACTGTGGTGGTGGCATATCGATCGATGACTATCACTAATGCGGACATGATAAAAGTGGTTCACTTGGGGAGACCTGTGGAGCAAGGTACTATCTTAAAAATCAGCTTTGTTAACCGAAGTTTCTATACTAATTCATCAATACGTTGGATGTGTTCTTGAAAACGGCGAGAACCATCGCCACCATGCCATTAAAACAGTCTCAAATGTTATATAAAAACAATTTTCACTTTGGATTTTTCCTTTCGTAGTTTCATGTGGGAGCAATGGTATCATTGAAATACCAACTGAAAACTGCTAAACAAAATTTTGAAACTGAAATATTAAAAAAATAAAATGTATTGAAATCTTTACTATTTGATCGAAACGTTCTTTCATATGAAATTGCTTGATTTATTGTTTCTTTATTTTAAAGATTCAGTCATGGTTAGTCTTTTAAATAGATTGTATTTGAATTTTCATTTAATTATGACCAACAGATAATGGACCTAAGGTATAATTATGATGGAAAATATTGCTTCGAGTTGATCATATACATATACGTACCGTGTAGTTATATTTGATTAGTAATACTAATAATTTTTACATGTTTAATTGAACTACATACATATTTGTTGGTATTTTACAGAGGTAACATGTCAGAAGGTGATCGGAGAAAGACAAGCGCCAAAATCTGTGACTCTTCCTATCGTCGTTCTTTGCTTTTGCTCTCATAAAAAAAAAAGTTGAGTTCCATGCTCTCCCAACATGTCTGATTTTCTCTTATTCATGGTGGGAGAGTATGAAATTCAACTTTCAAGAGGGCAAAATGAAGAAAATCAATCGCAAGAGCCATCTTGAAGAGCCCGAAAATCCTCCTCGATGAGATTATGAGTTATGACTTATGAGTGACTTGAACGACGAACCGAAAAGAATTGTTCAAGAAACACTGGTAAAAGTGATGGCCAATAGTACAACCGTGGTGGTGGCACATTGGTTGACGACTCAGCGAACATGATAGCAACGGTGCACTTGGGGAAACTTGTGGAGCAAGGTACCATCTCAAAACCTGCTTCGTTAACCTAAGTTTCTCTACCATAATCGCTTTCTTTACCACGAATATCATCTATGTTATCACTTTTCTGTTTTCCATGAACAATCCACTCTTTTGAATTTGTATCTTGTGTTCTACGAGGTCTACATCAACCCAATTTGGATCAAATATGTTATAAGTGCGAGGTCTTCGTTAACTCTAAGAAACGGAATCTCTCTATTACCAGAGCCCAAGTCAACACCCTGCGCGGATCCTCTCCTAGAGGGATCCCCAGATACACGAAAGGAAGGTTGCCCACCTTGCATCCACAACACTTGGCTAAGAATTTAACCGCATTATCCTTCACACCCACTCCCAGAAGACGAGTTTTTTTAAAGTTAATGCTCAACCCAGAGGTGATTTCGAAACATCTCAGTGTCCTCTTCACATTGGTTAAAACATCATCTTCAAGTTTAATAAACAATATCGTGTCATCGGCAAACTGGAGGTGGTAAAACGAATGATTTGGTAAAACATCTCAAATTCCAGAAATTACTCCACATCGTTCTGCTTTAATATGGAGTTGATGCACCGCTTCCGCGACTATAATGAATAAAATTGGTGAAATTGGATCCCCAATCCGTAAACCTCTACCCATGCGAAACTCCTTTGTCGGCGAGCCATTCTCCAGCACCGAAACATCCTCCGAAGATATACATCCTAACATCCAGTTTCTCCAGTTTAAGCCAAACCTCATTTTCTCGAGGACCATGACAAGAACTCTCACCTTACAAAATCATAAGCTTTGGAGAAGTCCAACTTTAGGATCACGCCTCCAGCGTCACTTCCCTCGTTCGCCATTGTATAATCTCATTCACCACAAGAATACCATCAAAAATTAAAATGCGATGCCTTGTATATTTGTATATAGCTTTAATAATGATTGCTTAACTTTTTTACTTGAAATAAAAATAAATAGCGTGTACATACACATGCGATGCATATAATGCCAATATAAATAAGTCAAAATGCTTAAAATATTATCATATAGTTTTTCTTTTCCAATTCAAGTATATTTTTTAAAACAATGATTCTATTATAAAAGTTTCTTAATAACATAGGATTAAAATGAAATAGATGTATTTATATAAAATGAAAGGTATATGAGTTACATTCACTTTGTTTATTTATTGTAAACTAACATTTAAACCGTAAGAGTAGTGTTTACTGGTACTGGAGTAGAACATGCAGCTGGATTTTGTTTGCCAGTAACTTTTGATTTAATATTTTTACATTCAGATTTTGTAGATCCATCTAGTCCACTAATTATATTATTAATGTGGAAGAGTTCTACATTTTTACATAGAAAAGTAGCACTGCAAACGAGTTTGACACCTTTTGGAAGCGTACCAGAAATGTTCTTGAAGCTGATGTTGCTTAGTTTAACATTTGATTCTGGCTGCAAGACTAGTTAGATGATTGATTAACTCTTTCATTGTATTGGGTTTTCAATAAGTATGTACATACATTCATTTTGCATTTATTCCATGGGCAATATTTTTGGTCAGTCATGACGGGGCAACTAACATTCTTCACAGTGATATCTTCAAAATGCATATCCAATGCAGTGCTAAAAATTTGACTTGTCCAAGTCTTGATTCTAACACCATTCGAAGTATCAGTCATAGTGCACTTCAACACTTTAATTCCTTCAACTGGTTCTTCATTTGCAAACTTTCCAAGGCTACCGATACTGATACCATGTTCAGATCCACAAGTTACTCCGTGATGTTCAGATTTTAGGGACGATCCCCAATTAAAACACATTCATCACCAGTTTTGATATTTGTGTTTATAATTTTAACCCGATCTGATCTCTTGATATGAATCCCATCTACGTTTGGGCTATCTTTAGGTGCGGATACAGTGACGTTCGAAAGTAATTTTTGCATCCCAAAACATTAACGTGGAATTGTTTACTATCTCTTATAGTTATATCTTGTATCATTGCATTTGTTAAATAATCAAACCTTACATTCTGTTTAATTTCAGAGTTAAAAGAGACACGAGAAAAAAAAAGTAATAACTATTATAAAGAATATCAAATTCTTGTGAAAGGTAAGAAACCTTACGTTACGATGGGGAGGTTACTACAGAAGTCGTGTTTTTCGCAACCTTCTCTCTTATAAGCAGTGGTTCATTGTCCATCGAAAGCTCCTCCACCAAACAATTTGAAGTTTTCAACATGAAGGAAGCTACCCATTTAGGCTCCATGAAAGCTTTAGGATCGGCTGGTGCTTTTACATTGCCCTGAACTTGAAGCTCAATAGGAGCCTTGCAAGGACCTTCCAACGTTGCTTGACTTAACAAATATGTCCCTTTAGGAATCACAATTGTTGATGGAGTCGTTGACCCACAAGCTTCTTTCCAAGCATCCAACAATGGCTAAAACAAAATAGATTAATAAATAATTTACACATGTTTTCACAGTTGTAGTATTAAAGGGAGCTATAATTTCACTTACCTTACTATAACCTGTATTCAAGTCAGTCTTTGCGCCAAACTTAGCTACGACATCAAGAGCACCTGCTTGAGCTTCCATGGCAGTAAGGAAAAAAATTAATATTATAGACCGCACCATCCCAGGCAGTAAACGGTATTAGATTACAGTCGAAAAAAATCAGCAATGTGCAACTTTGAACTCGTGGAAACAAAACCTGCTTTTGGACTTGATTCAAGAATCTCTTATGATATTTTGGTAGCAAATACAAATGACTAAAATGTTTAGAGTAAGCATCAATAAAACAGTTTAAAAGCCTTAGTCTGTCATTGAAAACATGGAAAACGGACTGAACTGGTTTAAACTATAACAAAGCTTCTAACCTGAATATACTCGATGCCATTCTGGGAAAGATTCTCCACAATGTTGTCTGATGAAAGCAAGTTAATGACTCCTCCAGAGCCAACTGGTGACTGCAGCATCTCCCAAGGTGATTTCATCAAAATCTTATGCCTATTTGTTCCAGCAAACTGCTAACAGCCGGCAGCCTCTCTTCTTCCAAGAACCAAACCTGTAATTTGGTTGGGTAAATAAAGGTGTTAGTATACATATATTCATCAAACACTTGGATAAAAGCAGTTCACATCTATCATAGTCAATTCCTATTTACGTCAAATTTACAAGCATGACTGCTAGGGCCTAGCCGGTGAAATCCCAACATTATGGATTTTATCAAAGAGGGATCTCCGAATCCTCAAGAATTCAATGGCAAACTGTTAGCGGATCAAGAAGACGATAGCCATGGAAAACCATGCACCTTAGTAGAGTTGAAAATAGAATTGAGAAAATCGTTTGGGAACATTGGGATTCAACCAAAACCAGAAGTTGGAATCAACCAGTATTATTAAATGTTGAAAGAGTAAGTGCCATTGGAGATTTCATTGGTTGAAAATCAGATCCCGATTCCTGAAGTAGACGCATAGCTAGCAAAACTTTCTCATTTAATTCTAATTTACACTCCGGATGCGGACAACAACGAAAAGGAACATTCTGAAAACTATAGCTATCCACACTGACATATGATAGCAAAACCTACAACCTATAATGAGCATTACAAATAACTTTACTCAGCACCTTGTGTTTTGCCTAGTGAGTCATTCAAAGGCTACAACCCAAAGCGGAAAAGAAAATCACAAGATATCGATGGCAATGACACTGACCTTTTCAGGGTCAAATCCAAAATAATTGTTACTTGATAACAGCTTATTAGTAGAATTGATTTCATCAGCTGGACTAATCAAAATCAGCGGGCGTAGATGAACGATGTTCTACCTGCAAGCATCGAGCAATAAGTTTTAATATTCATAAATTGGAGCTTCAGTTGCAGTAGCTTATAAATGAAAATTTCAGTCGCATGAATCAGTAACTGAAAAACTAAAATTTTTCCCAAACGTAAGTTCTTATCTTTGTACCACCTTCACAAGCCTCTCATCATCAGAAAGCACTGTATGAAGGGAGGATGTTTAAGAATTCTCTGTGCTCATTGAGAAACCGAGATCAGGGTCATAGTCTTTTCCCCAATTCCTATGGCCACTCATATCTAAAACAACCACAACTTTTCCTTTAGAAACAATATGAAGTGCCTTTTCGTGCAAAGTGAAATTTATTCCCAGCTTCTCTTCACTTGTAGATGGAGTAAAGCATTTTTTCTGATATCTCCAATCTATTTCTCACTAGCTTAGTTCCAGCGAGGGATTCAATTATACTCCATCTGATTCAAGAAGCAACATAGAGATAAAAATTTAATAATTTAAGCACCATTGTAGATCATCATCACCGCTTATACAGTACAGAGAATGCCTTCTAACAGAACGGAGTCTAAGATGAAAACAAACAGGGTTTTTGACACCATATTTGAAACAGGTGATGAATTTATTCAACAACTAAATGAAAGTTTGATAAGTGCAAAGTGAGAAAAAATGTGTTTATACACTACAGTCTACATATACATATATAAAAGCTTCACCTCTTTGAAGCTATCTCAACATTCTCCAATGCCTGCTGAAGCAATTTGGAATTGACATTGACAATCTGATCTGCAATTAGGCTCACTTGTGACTTCTCTCCAAATCCGAACCCATGAAATACACGTTGTTGCTCCATTTCAATCAATTTCCTTTTTGCAGCTATTAACCGCTTTTGAAAGTTTTTTTCTTTCTTTCCATTCCTAAAAGAAGTCGACAGAAGAACCAAGACATGAACCTGATTGATACAAACATGTAAATACATGAACTGTGAAAAAGTATGGCGGCATCATGAATAGATGGAAGAGCTTGAGAAGCTGAGCATATGAAATAAATCTCAAAATTCAATGTACTCTATACAAATATATATATATGCTTAATAATATACTGAAGAACAAGAGCAGAAGGAAAATGTAATAAAGGAAAGTCCAGCTGACAAGAAAATAAGTAAGCAGAATACTATTTTGGAGAATCGTGCAAGAAACGAAACAATGAATAAAGTAGATTGCAAAATAATATTAGCTTACAAGTTGGCGCCTTTCTTTCCAGGACCTCTCATCAGTTCGTACATTTAGCTCGAGGAGTCCCATTGGAGGAGTAATCAGCATTTCTCTTCTATTCAAATCAACATTAGGAACAATTTCTTCGACAAACGGTACCCAAACAAGGGGACCAGAATCACTAACTTCAGCCAAATTAGATGACTCCTCACTTCCATTAGGCATAGGTACAGCTGATTTGAGCATGACATGTAACAGATCATTAGCTCCACTATTGAAAACATTAACAACTGTCCCCACCTCTTGACCAGTTTCCTGAAAGAAGGCGATATATACAAATTCTAAAATTAAGCCTCACCAATCGTAAGCAAAATAAACAATCTAAAAGTATGAGAAAGAATTGAAAAGAACAGATAAATCAATATACTTATCGGTTATTACCGTGATTACTATAATAAGAGGCTTTAGAAGGCAAATTCAACAGTTAAGGTGTGTTGAAATGTGAAAAGAAAATTGATGCTTTTATGGAAGTTTCCAGATTTGTATATGGAATATCAAGGGCTACTGAGCCAGTAAGTACATCACCTTGAGAATGACTCTCATTCCAACAAGATCAAGAGTATAAAATTCACCTTCTTCCAGATGTGGCCTGTCTTCTTCCTCAGCCAATAAAGTTGAACCTACAAGTTGCCTAGCCTGAACAACAAAACTTATCAAGATGGAAGCAGGCAAAGAAAAATCAAAGATATCCAAAGTAAAGAGGCAAGCTTTCATTAAGATGTAAAGAAGTACAAAGAACAAACTTGTCTAATCATCTCACCTGATCCACTGTTTCAATCCCACTGAAGCTAAGTATCCAACTCTTCTTTCCAGGATGTTCCCTTCCTTCAACAAGCTCTACTTCTTTAATTGCTTCTTTACCTGAAACTGGTTGCCTTAACCATCTTCTCCCAGCCTGAAAGTGAATCTATTTCATGATAAAAGAAAAAAGGAAATTACAGACATTAAGTTGAGGCAAAGGCAAATAATAACCTTAAGAACATGTCCTACCTTGCAAAACCGCAGTTCAGGAAAATCAGTGTTGGGTTTTATACAAAGCTCTCCCTGTATCCCATGAACACTGGATATGTACCTAATTTCAACAAAACCAGACACGTTGTTGCTAGCTTCAATAATTTCTTCAGTAGCTGAAGTAGCTAAGTTAATGTGAATATGCACAACGGTTGAAAAGAAATAAAATACAAATAATCCAAGTAAGAAACAAAAACAAGCAAAACCCATTGTAAACAACCCTCTAATTGAACCAAAACTGCTGAAAATTAAAGTAAAAAATCAAGGTTTACCAGTGCTTTGCAGAGGAGGGAGGTCATGGCGCTGACCGCGGAGACGATTCAAAGACAAGCGGAGACAAGAGAAAGCAAAGAGAGAACGAGAGAGACGGCTTCTAATGGGAGGTGTTAGTGGACGACAAGTGTGAAAATAGGCTGGCGGGGAAGATATTGGAATTGAAGAACACAGAAGTGAAGCTTTATTCATTTTGTTGTGGACTAATGAGGAAGAAAGTGCGGCAGCCGCACCATTCATCTAATATTTGTTTCGCCGGATATTTTGTACAAGTAAAATATACTATAAAATGATGTTCTCTTAATATATATATATATCTCAATTTATAAGAATAATACTCTTATTATATTTATTTATTAAAATTACATTAAAACAATATTACTAATTAATGATACCTTTTAAAAAAGACGTGCCACGTGAGAATTAATTTTTATATAGAATGTGCCTTTTGATAATGTGACAAGTTTTCCAGGGACATTATTCAAGATCAAAATTAAGGTAATAAAAATAATTGATTAGAACTTTAAAAAATTGTAGATTTTATTTTTAATTACTCATAGAGTGTATATTTAGAAGATTGTATTTAGACACTTTAAAAACTCGTATACAAATAATGTGTGATTTGAGAATATAATAATAAAAGTTTGTTGATTTTGAGATGTCAAACATAGTCAAACTTTATCAAGCTCGTATTAGTACATCATTCGAAGATAGTTGTGGATACTGAATTCTAAGTATTTTATAAGGTAAAATCATATTTGATTATCGTACTAATATGAATTGAGTTAAGTTTAAGAATTTGAGTCAATATCTAACAATTGATTCAATCAAAATAAGAGGAGTTTTACTGCATTGAATTTTTAGTTGCAGGTGAGTAACTCCCAATCGTTCCAACAATACTTTGATGAATATTACAAAAGAATTAAAATTGTTCAAGACTTTACAGCAAAGATTTCAACCAACATTTGACTTTATGTAAGAATTGAAATTCCAATTTTCTAATGAAATTTGTGTCAAGGGAGAGATTGGTTGATACTGACTCAAATTCCAATTATAAATTTATTTGGGTTTTGTTATAATTCTACTATTGATTATTTGGCGATTAATTTTATTTAGTAAAAATTATTATTGAATAGGGATTCTTTGTGACCAAATATTTAACTCTATATAGTATGTATTAACCTTTAGAATTATGAGAGATAGATGATTTAGAGACATGTAATCTTTTTATAATATTTACAATTTTTAGAGTTTACGTTACAGAGATAAATTTTGTAAG